CTAACCAAGGAGAGAAGCAACCTGGAACTAAGGAGAAACTTCCTGACAGTCAGAACAATTAATCAGTGGAACCACCTGCCTCCAGAAGCGGTGAATGGGCCAACACTGGAAGTTTTTAAGAAGAGACTGGACGGCCATTTGTCCGAAATGATATAAGGTTCCCTGCCTGAACAGGGGGTTGGACTAGATGACCTCCAAGGTCCCTTCCAGCTTTATTATTATCCTGAATCTGCCTCCTCTTTCATATTACCTATCCATTTTCCAGACATCTTGAAATAAAAAGGGAGCTCTCTTCTCGGCCTTCAGTGTCACGGCCGACAAATCTTGTTCCCCCCCCCCCACAAGTTGTCCCGGAACAAAATGCCGTGTCTGAAAATCACTTTGTGATAAGAAAGATGGGGTACTAATGCAGGAACGGGTCACTGCTCTTTACTAGAGTGGTGTGAAAGAGTCTCAAATGCATTGGCCAAATATCCAGTGGTGGGATGCCACTTCCGGAAGTCCATTCTGGGCCTGGGCAACAAAAAGTTAGCTACCGGTTCTCTGTAGCCCTGATGATGTTACCTAGTTTGGTAATGAGATGTCTGCAAGAAAACCATGGAGCTGAAAGAGTTCCAAAGACTCCATAGTTGTCCTCCTCCTCCTCCTCCCTCTTGGCAATCCCTTCTAGCACTGATGATGTAGCCTAGTTTGGTAATGAGATGTCTGCAAGAAAACCATCAAGCTGAGAAAGCAACAAGGACCGCACAGTTTTCCTCCTCCTCCTCCTCCTCCTCCTCCTCCTCCTCTTGGCAATCCCTTCTATAACTGATGATGTAGCCTAGTTTGGTAATGAGATGTCTGCAAGAAAACCATCAAGCTGAGAAAGCAACAAGGATCACAGTTTTCCTCCTCCTCCTCCTCCTCCTCCCTCTTGGCAATCCCTTCCAGCACTGATGATATAGCCTAGTTTGGTAATGAGATGTCTGCAAGAAAACCATCAAGCTGAGAAAGCAACAAGGACCCCACAGTCCTCCTCTCCTCCTCCTCCTCCTCCTCCCTTTGGCAAACCCCACTCCCCTCCAGCACTGACGACATTACCTGCAAGGAGACCACCCACCTCAGAGAGCACCAGGGACCCCCCCCCCCGTTCGACCCTGGGCTACCAATATTCTCTCCAACCGATAAATCCCCTTTCCTGAATCCAAGGCATCTACTCGTACCAAAACTCCGAAAAACAGAGCGGGCTGGAGAATGAAAAAACATCAAAAAATCCCAATGGGAAGAGAAACAGTTTGAAAGTGAACAAATGTTGGGTTACGCGGCTGTAGCCATGGCAATCATGGAGAACGGCGCAATATCCGTATCTTGAGGGAAAAAAAAGAGTAATTAAGACCTAAGTGGCAGGTATAGCTGGGGCGGTAATATAGAGTCAATTTAGGTAGCAATTAAACCCCTCCATAAAATATGATATTTCATTCAAAGGGCGGAGGTCTGGGGAGCGGAACTGATGTTCTTTCTTGCAAAGATTTGGTCAAATGCCCTAAAGAAGGGCAGGGTTGTGCACGTGTGTGTGTGTGTGTGTGTGTGTGAAGGACATTTGGACCCACAAGGCTGCATAGAAAATACACTGAATTAGCTTTGTGTGCACAGGAAGTCCTCGACTTACGACCACAGTGGAGCCCAACGTTTCCGTGGCTAAGCGAGACCGTTGTTAAGGGAGCTTGGCTCCATTTTACGACCTTCCTGCTTTCTAAGCCTGCTTGAACGGGATTGGATTAAAGCCTCTGAGGATCGTTTCTCTCCTAGAACATCAGCAGAGTCGGACGGGACCTCGGAGGTCATCTAGTCCAACCCCCTGCCGCAGCCCTGCCGTCTGCCAACTCTGATCTGAAACTACGGGTGGTCCTCGCTTTACACAACCACCCCTGGGCCCCAAATTGATGCCGCTAAGCGAAACATTGGTTAAGCGATTTTTTTTTCGCCCCGTTTGACGACCTTTCTGGTCACCGTTGTTAAATGAATCACTGCAGTTTTAAAGTCAGTAACACGGTCGTTAAGCGAAACCTGCTCCCCCCCCTTGACTTCGGTCGTCAGAAAGTCGCAAAAGGGGATTATGTAGGGGATCATGTGACCCCAGCGGATGCTGCAAACCGTCATAAGTACAAGTCAGTTGCCAAACGGCTGTGTTTTGATCACCTGACTGTGAAAAACAGACATGTCGCTTTTTTCCACTGCCGATTTGAACAGTCACTAAACGGGACTGTTGTAAGTCGAGGACTAACTTTATTAATTGCTCCAAAGGAATCGTATGAAATGATGGAGTTGGCTTCCACTTCCAGAATACCTTCCTATCTTATGTGGAATTGAATTCTAATTGGAAAGCATACTGGGTCTATAATTTAACGCACAGCTTTGTGCCGTTCAAAATGTTGATTTTTCTATATATATATATATATGGAGTCTATATATTTTCACTTCCTGGGATATTCCACTTTGACTGGCTTGGCCACACTGATTCCTTAATTATACCTCTTAATTTTGTACCGAGTTGACCACGGTTCTTAATCACATATTTCTGAGCCTAAGAGCAATTTCTAATTTTTTTAAAAAGTGACGTAATACATTCTGTCACTCACAAGTAATTAACCACATACTGGAAAACCATAATCTCTATGAGATTCTAGAGCTCTTGTTGGCTTATTTGTAGTGAATTGCAATTCATTTAGTGACAGTTCAAAGTTACAACGGCATTGGAAAAAGGGGCTTAAGACCGTTGTTCCATACTTACGACCGTTGCAGCATCCCCGTGGTCATGTGATCAAAATTCGGACCCTTGGCAAGCGGTTCATACTTACGACGGTCGCAGTGTTCCGGGGTCACGTGATTCACTTTTGCAAACTTCTGACAAGCGAAGTCGATGGGGGGGGATTCACTTAACAACGTAACAACTGTGGCAAGAAAAGTCGCAAAACGGGACAAAACTCACTTAACAATTGTTTCACTTAGCCACCTAAATTTTGGGCCCTACTGTGGTGGTAACTCAAGGACCACTTTCATCTGTATTTTACACTGTTGTTCTTTTTTGCCGTCTTCAATCTCTTTGTTTGTGCCATTTATATTGCTTAAGTTTAAAAACAAAAGACAGGAAAACAAAACATAAAAACAAAGCGGAGAAATTAGGCCAAATACTTACACACCTGGTACTACACGGAGTTACCTGGAAGTAACCTGCATCTTTTTCAAGGAGCTTGAGGTTATACATACAGCTAGTCCTCAAGGACTGTAATGGAGCCTGCCCATTGCAGTTGTAAACCGGGACAGTCCTAAGATGGGTCACCCACAGGACTGTCCCAATTTTATGGCAGGATTAGAACTCATGCTCTCCCAGTCATTGGCCCAAAGTCACCTACCCAACTTTCATGCTTAAACTGGGATTAGAACTCTCCTAGTGATTGGTCCAAAGTCACCCGACTGCCTTTCATGTATAAGGCGGGACTAGAACTCACCGTCTCCTAGTGATTGGTCCAAAGTCACCTAGCCAGCCTTCACGCTTAAGATGAGACTAGAACTCACTGTCTCCTAGTGATTGGTCCAAAGTCACCCGACTGACTTTCATGTATAAGGCGGGACTAGAACTCACCGTCTCCTAGTGATTGGTCCAAAGTCACCTGACTGACTTTCATGTATAAGGCGGGACTAGAACTCACCGTCTCCTAGTGATTTGTCTAAAGTCACCTAGCCAGCTTTCATGCTTAAGATGAGACTAGAACTCACTCTCTCCTAGTGATTGGTCCAAAGTCACCTGACTGACTTTCATGTATAAGGCAGGACTAGAACTCACCATCTCCTAGTGATTGGTCTAAAGTCACCTAGCCAGCTTTCATGCTTAAGATGGGACTAGAACTCACTGTCTCCTGCTTTCTAGCCTGGTACCTTGACCACTAGACCAGACTGTCTCTCTTTGGTATACAGAGGTAGTCCTCAATTTATGACTACATTTAACCCTTTAACCAACTGGTGGTGGCTAAATGAGTTATACCCAGTTGCAGGTCCTTTCCCGCTGCGGTTGTTCAGCAAATCCCTGCGCCTGTTACCGTAAGTGAATCCATTTCCTGCGCTGACTTTGCTTGTCAGAACCCGGCCAGGAAGGGTCACAAACCACGATCGGGCGATCTTGGGATGTTGCAACCATCGTTAAAGCACAGGCCGGTAGCCAAGCGACCAATCTGGGCCGCGTGGCTGGCGAAACCGTGCTTGTGATAAGTCGCTTTTTTACCGTGCTGTAGTAACTTTGAACAGTGGCTAGACCAGGGGTAGGCAATCCTGGCTCCTTTATGACTGGTGGACTTCAACTCCCAGAATTCCTGAGCCAGCCATGCTGAGGGGAAAGGGAGAGGTTTCCAAGCTGAGCCATGCTGGCTCAGGAATTCTGGGAGTTGAAGTCCACGAGTCATAAAACGGCCTAGGCCAGAGGTAGGCAACCTTGGCTCTTTTATGACTTGTGGACTTCAACTCCCAGAATTCCTCAGCCAGCCATGCTGAGGGGAAAGGGAGAGGTTTCCAAGCTGAGCCATGCTGGCTCAGGAATTCTAGGAGATGAAGTCCACGAGTCATAAAAGAGCCAAGGTTGCCTAACCCTGGCCTAGGCCTAGGCTGCTTTATGACTCGTGGACTTCAACTCCCAGAATTCTTGAGCCAGCCTGGCTCAGCTTGGAAACCTCTCCCTTTCCCCTCAGCATGGCTGCCTCAGGAATTCTGGGAGTTGAAGTCCACGAGTCATAAAAGAGCCAGGGTTGCCTACCCCTGGGCTAGACTAATGGTTGCAAATCAAGGACCACGAAGGGCGCGAGTGCGAGGAAAGAGACCGCTCAGCCCTTCTTCCCCTGTCTGGCTGCGTATAAAGACCGGACGTTCATTTTTACCCAAAGCAAAATAGGTCGCTTCTCTTCGGGAAATAAAAGGGAGCCAGAAACGCGCAGATCATTGCCGGAAGCAGTAACTGCGTCAGTTTGACCCACCTCTCTCCTCCGTGAGGCCCAGCAGCTTTGCTTAATCTTCCAAACCACGGCAGCCACCAGGAGCAGAGACAAGAAGCAGCTGAAAAAGGAGAAGAGAAATAAATTCGGTGATCTGCCTTTCCTTGGCTTGGACGTTAGGAAAACATAGCAAAAGTGACCAAACCAAACCAATAAGGCAGTGAACGTATCTCACAGGCTTTGGTCCTCCTATTTTCCCCACAACGACCCTGTGAGGTGGGTTGGGTTGAGAGAGAAAGGGATTGGCCCAAAGTCACCCAGTCGGCTTTTATGCCTAAAGTGGGACTAGAATTCCCAATCTCCTGGTTGACTGGCCCAAACATACCCAGCTGGCTTTCATGCCTAAAGTGGGAATAGAACTATCTCCTGGTGGCAGAACTAGAACTCACCGTCTCCCATTTTCTAGACATCATAAAAGGGCCCAGTTTGAAGACCCTTGCTATAGACTTTAAGAGGAGTGGACCTCAACTCCCAGAATTCCTCAGCCAGCGTGCCTGGCTGAGGAATTCTGGGAGTTGAAGTCCACAAGTCACAAAAGGGCCAAGTTTGAAGACTCGTGTCTTAAATCTAACAAACAAAATGGAGGCTGGCTGAGGAATTGTGGGAGTTGAAGTCCACACGTCCTAAAAGGGCCAGGTTTGAAGACCCCTGATGTGGATGATTACAAAAGGTGATTACTCACTAACCCGATCCTATTTTCCCACAGCTGGGCCTGATGGAACTCCTCAAAGAAATAGAACATTAAATTTAAACTCCGTAGAAGACTTCCACATGGTTTCCTTTTCCATTTGCCATTAGAAACTCCATGATTTTCATTTTGGCTTTTATCTTCTGCAATGCTTATAGCAGGTGATTCTCTGGCACCTACCTTGTCGTAATTTGCATGATCCTGCACCTAATTTTTATTTATTTATTTATTTTGCAACCTGCCACATGGAGGCAGCGGTTCTCCGTCAAGAGCTGCAAAGCTGGTGGAGATTTTATTTCAGATCGGTCATCGGCAACCGGATTTTGATTCGGTCTAGTCCAGGGGTAGGCAACCTTGGCCCTTTTATGACTGGTGGACTTCAACTCCCAGAATTCCTGAGTCAGCCATGCTGAGGGGAAAGGGAGAGGTTTCCAAGCTGAGCCATGCTGGCTCAGGAATTCTGGGAGTTGAAGTCCATGAGTCATAAAGCAGCCTAGGCCTAGGCCAGAGGTAGGCAACCTTGGCTCTTTTGACTCGTGGACTTCAACTCCCAGAATTCCTGAGCCAGCATGGCTCAGCTTGGAAACCTCTCCCTTTCCCCTCAGCATGGCTGGCTCAGGAATTCTGGGAGTTGAAGTCCATGAGTCATAAAGCAGCCTAGGCCGGAGGTAGGCAACCTGGACTCTTTTATGACTGGTGGACTTCAACTCCCAGCATTCCTCAGCCAGTCATGCTGAGGGGAAAGGGAGAGGTTTCCATGCTGAGCCATGCTGGCTCAGGAATTCTGGGAGTTGAAGTCCATGAGTCATAAAGCGGCCTAGGCCGGAGGTAGGCAACCTGGGCTCTTTTATGACTGGTGGACTTCAACTCCCAGCATTCCTCAGCCAGTCATGCTGAGGGGAAAGGGAGAGGTTTCCATGCTGAGCCATACTGGCTCAGGAATTCTGGGAGTTGAAGTCCACCAGTCATAAAAGGGCCAAAGTTGCCTACCCCTAGTCTAGTAGTTCAAGATTCAATTATCTGACAGGGAGGACAATTAACCAGTGGAACGACTTGCCACCAGAAGCTGTGGGTGCCCCGACGCTGGAGGTTTTCCAGAAGAGACTGGACAGCCACCTGTCTGAAGTGGTTACAGGGTCTCCTGCTCGAGCAGAGAGGGTTGGAGTAGATGACCTCCGAGGTCCCTTCCAACTCTGATATTCTATTATCCCTGATGGATGACCTTACAGTGGTGGTGCAACCCACAATTTTTTTTTTGCAAGGAACCACTCCATCCTCCCCCAGCAGGTTGACGCATGTTCTAGATGTCAAGCCTGAGTCCAACAACTTTTTGTGAGGTTGATGCAAAGGAAGGGAGCCCCCATATTCCCTTAAAAATCCAGTTTTTTTCTTCTATTTTTTTATGTTCTTCAAAACAAGGAAGATTACAGATTTTAGAGAGACCATGTCGCATCCTATAATACTGTGTAGTATCGTACAATATAGATCTGGGCATTTCACGGTCCCCAGGCCGCATCCGGCCCTTTGATTATCCATGTCCAGCCTGCGTGGATTGTTTTTACAATCCAGTCTCTTCTTAAAAACTTCCAGTGTTGGAGCATTCACCGCTTCTGGAGGCAGGTAGTTCCACCGGTTAATTGTTCTCACTGTCAGAAAGTTTCTCCTTAATTCCCAGTTGCTTCTCTCCTTGATGAGTTTCCATCCGTTGCTTCTTGTCCTGCCTTCAGGCGCTTTGGAGAATAGCTTGACTCCCTCTTCTTTGGGGCAGCCCCTGAGATATTGGAATACTGCTATCATGTCCCCCCTCATCCTTCTCTTCATCAAACTGGACATAGAGCAACAAAGATGATTAGGGGACTGGAGGCTAAAACCTATGAGGAACGGTTGCTGGAATTGGGGATGTCTAGTTTAATGAAGAGAAGGACGAGGGGGGACGGGATAGCAGTCTTCCAGTATCTCAGGGGCTGCCCCAAAGAAGAGGGAGTCAAGCTATTCTCTACAGCAGGGCTTTTCAACCAGTGGTACGGGTACCACCTGTGGTACATTGGCACCTGGCAGGTGGTATGCGACCATCCTAAAAAACTGCTAGCGGGGGAGGGGAATGAGCTGAATCGGTGGCAGCACTGTACAAGCCTGAGCGAGAGACGGCTGGAGCTGCAGGGCTGTCAGGGCTCAGCGGAAGCATCAGGATCAGCGCTTCTTCGGGGCTGTCAGGGCTCAATGGAAGTGCCAGGATCAGCGCCAGGCTCCAGCTGGAGCTCGGCGCTGATCCTGGCGCTTCTGCTGAGCCCAGAAGAAGCGCCGATCAGCTGGAATGTTGCAGCCTCTCCAGGGTCTTGTGATTTACATTCAGATGCTGGGCCACTGATTCATATTTATGACGGTCACGGTGTCCCAGGGTCATGGGAAGCAACCAAAATCTGCTGCAACCCCCAGCAGACGGGGGGAATAAAAACCAAACACCCCCCACCCCATCCCCGCTGCCAATCCTCAACAGAAATGCTCACAACAATGGAAACCTTGGACAGGAGGAAGAGCGCGACCAGGCGGGCAGGCAGGTGTCTTGCTCTGCTGTGGCTTGGGGGGCCCTTTTTTCAGTGCCAATGTAACTTTGAACAGTCACTAAGCGAACTGCTGTAAGTCGAGGACTACCTGTACTTTATCACTTTTTTCCTTTTTTTTTTTTTTGGTCATCAAATCTTTTTTTTTATTGAAAGTTTTTGCAATTTTACAATAAAATCCCTCTCCCACTACCTCCCTACCCTCCCCAAAACCCTCCCCCCCTCTTCCCAGAGCTGAATACAGGGTTAGCTAGAACTAAAAATACAAAACATTTAAACTTAAGTAAACCTCAAACAAAAATTACATTAAAAAAAAAGTCCAATATATATATATATATAATAAAAAAGTCCAATATATATATATAATGAGAAATACTTATTATCTTAAACTTTAAACATAAATTATTCAAAAGCTAAATAATATCTTTTAATATCATACTTATACTGTATAAAATTTATCCATCTTTTCCACACCAAGAGATATTTCTCTTGCGATTGATCTTTCAAATAAGCCGAAATTTTTGCCATTTCAGATGGTCATCAAATCTTTGACACCTTACTAGGCGACTGGTGGTACTCGGATGTTGCCATATCCTAAAAGTGGGATAATGGGCGAAAAGGTTGAAAAGCCCTGCTCTAGAGCATCTGAAGGCAGGACAAGAAGCAACGGATGGAAACTCATCAAGGAGAGAAGCAACCTGGAACTAAGGAGAAACTTCCTGACAGTGAGAACAATTAACCAGTGGAACAACCTGCCACCAGAAGTGGTGAATGCGCCAACACTGGAAGTCTTTAAGAAGAGACTGGACAGCCATCTGTCCAAAGTGGTATAGGGTTTCCTGCCTGAACAGGGGGTTGGACTAAATGACCTCCAAGGTTCCTTCCAACTACTACTACTACTACTACTACTACTACTACTACTACTACTTCTTCTTCTTCTTCTTCTTCTTCTTCTTCTTCTTCTTCTTCTTCTTCTTCTTCTTCTTCTTCTTCTTCTTCCTCCTCCTCCTCCTTCTTCCTTCTTCCTTCTTCTCCTTCTCCTTCTCCTTCTTCTTCTTCCTCCTCCTCCTCCTTCTTCCTTCTTCCTTCTTCTCCTTCTCCTTCTCCTTCTTCTTCTTCTTATTATTATACCCAATTCCAGCAACCGCTCCTTATACGTTTTAGCTTTATATGTTTTACGACCATTTTTCACGCTTAGGGCCATTTGCAGGAGCCCCAGGGTCATGTGATCCAAATTCAGACGCTTGGTAACCGACTCATATTTGTGACGGTCTCAGTGTGCCCCAGGAGGGGGGAGGGGGGACACGAGATCCCCTTATGCGACCTTCTAACAAGCAAAGTCGATGGGGGAAGCCAGTTTAAGTTAACAACCGTGTTCCTAGCTTAAGAACTGCCGCGATTCATTTAACAATGAAAGGTCGTAAGATGGGGCAAAAACTGACTTAACAACTGCCTCGCTTAGCGATGGATAATTTGGGGCTGAATCGTGGTGGTAAGCCGAGGACCACCTGTATTTTGAAGGAGACTGCTATGTATTTTTTTTTTTTCCTAATTTAACTAGATGGGTCCGGCCATGCCTATGCCAACTTCAGAGCCATTTGCAGTTTTTCAGCTGGGCCCTTGGAAAAATGAATTGCCCACCCCTGATGTAATGAGTATATAATAATTGGGTGTAGTGCTACCGTACCTGAAAAAGGTGACAAAGAATTGCACCAGATCCATAAAGTTACTGTGCTGTGAAAATGCAATCTGTAAAAAAAGAAAAACAAAATTAAGCTTCGCAATGGCAATTATAGCTCTGCCTGATGCCTGTCTGGGAATCGTTCTTTAGAGATTTTAATAATCAACGTTCAAGTCCCAAACAGACCTATAATAATACATAAACCAGCGTATTTTCTCAAAAGCGTCACACCAAGGCAGCGCTCCAGGCATACATGGAAATAAATGAATACACTCTTAAACACAACGTTCTCGAAATCTGGCACGAAGTAAAGTAGAATAGAATAGAATAGAACAGAGCAGAATAGAACAGAGCAGAATAGAATGTTGTATTTTTTATTTTATTATTTATTATTCTATTCTATTCTGTTCCATATATATTCTATTCTATTCTATTCCATTCCATTCCATTCCATTCTAAAATTGGAAGGGACCTTGGAGGTCATCTAGTCCAACCCCCTGCTCAGGCAGGAAACCCTATACCATTTCAGACAAATGGCTGGCCAGTCTCTTCTAGAAAACTTCCAGTGTTGGAGCATTCACAGCTTTACAACCTTCAGATATTAATAATCCATTAACTAATACCTTCAGATATTAATGATTCTCCTGTGGAAAAGCTCTCCGATGCAAAGCTGCCCCCCCTCATTTTTGCCAACACAGGTGGTTCCCCCACTTACGACGATAACAGAGTCTAAAACTTCTACCGCTAAGCGGGAGAGTTGTTAAATGAATTTCGCCCCATTTTACGACCTTTCTACCCACAGTCGTTAAGCGAATCACTTCAGATGTTAGTCACACCGGTTATTAAGTGAAACAAGCTCCCCTACTGACCTGCCTTGTCACAAGGTCGCAATAGGGAATCGTATGACCCACCCGGAACTCTGCGACTGTCGTAAATATGAGTCAACTGCCAAGTCTCTGAATTTTGATTACGTGACCCTGGGCGATGCAACGGTCATAAGTGTGAAAAACGGTCAGAAGTCCCTTTTCCAAGTGTTTCTGTAAGTTCGAATGGTCACTAATTGAACTGTCGTAACTCAGGGACTACTTGCAATCTCCAAGTGTGTCTCCATTATTTTCCATTATGCAACTAGCCGGTGGTTGACTTTGCATTGTTCTAGAGCAGGGGTAGGCAACCTTGGCTCTTTTATGACTCGTGGACTTCAACTCCCAGAATTCCTGAGCCGGCCATGCTGACGGGAAAGGGAGGTTTCCAAGCTGAGCCATGCTGGCTCAGGAATTCTGGGAGCTGAAGTCCGCAAGTCATAAAAGGCCCAAAGTTGCCTACCTCTGGCCTAGGCCTAGGCTGCTTTATGACTAGTGGACTTCAACTCCCAGAATTCCTGAGCCAGCATGGCTCAGCTTGGAAACCTCTCCCTTTCCCTCAGCATGGTTGCCTCAGGAATTCTGGGAGTTGAAGTCCACGAGTCAGAAAGCGGCGTAAGCGTAGGCCAGAGGTATGCAACCTTGGTTCTTTTATGACTTGTGGACTTCCTCCCAGAATTCCTGAGCCAGCCATGCTGAGGGGAAAGGGAGAGGTTTCCAAGCTGAGCCAGGCTGGCTCAGGAATTCTGGGAGTTGAAGTCCATGAGTGATAAAGCAGCCTAGGCCTAGGCCAGAGTAGGCAACTGTGGCTCTTTTATGACTCGTGGACTTCAACTCCCAGAATTCCTGAGCCAGCCATGCTGAGGGGAAAGTGAGAGGTTTCCAAGCTGAGCCATGCTGGCTCAGGAATTCTGGGAGTTGAAGTCCACAAGTCAGAGGTTGCCTACCCCTGTTCTAGAGCCACATTGCACTATTCAAGATTTTATTCCCCTATCGTCAAGACCGACTAAGCATCACGTGGCTAAAAAGCAGAAATAAAATCTATGCAGATCGTTATTTGAAAAACACACACGCACATACTGTACACACACACACACACAGGCACAAAGACAATCAATTAAAGACAACTATTCTTTAAAAGAGGCGCAAAGCGAAAAAAGAGGGATGAAAGGAAAACGTAAACATGTCATGGAAATAAAACACCTTAAGAACAGCAGCAGAAATACGAGAGAATTAAAAGGTCCTCCGGAAAATATTTGTGTGTGTTTGTGTGTGTGTGTGTGTGTGTTTTCTCTGAGGTTTTCATCAACTACTCTGGGCTCGTCCCTCCTGCCACAGACTTGTTTAAATAGATTTTGATGTCAATTTACAGGAAGAGAAGCAATAACCTGCCCCACCAACCGCAGAGCGGAGAGGCTGGCTGTGCAAGTTATTAGGCTGGCACGCCTTGTGTATTTCATTTCATCAAATTAGAGAGCAAAGCCAGTGTTTTTGAAGCTGGCGATAACAGAAAAGGCTTCCAGGATTTTCTGCTTCCTATTTTGGAAAATTGGAAGGTGTGGAAATAAATTAACATACTCCGCAAAAGTGCACGGGGAGGACTGACAAGGCTGGAAGCGCAGACTTTCCAGATGGGTAAGACGGAGAAATAATACAGCGCCTGCCTTGTATAAAATCTTCCTGCCACTTCTGCTTCCCGAATTTTAACATTCAAGTCAAACAGGCCTCAGAAAGTAATATGGTGCAGCTGTGGCCAGAATTCTAAGTGTTTGGGGCTCTCTATTGAAAAACAATGGTCTTAATCTCTCCAGAACCACAGCCCAAAATATCAAGCTATTCATTTCTGCTTTGCACATTGCGGTGTGCAGAATAATGGGGAGGAGGAGGAGCAGGAGGAGGAAAAGGAGGAAAAGCAGGAGGAGGAGGAGAGGAGGAAGGGAGGAGGAGGAGAAAAAGGAAGAGGAGGGGAGGAGGAGGGAGGAGGAAGAGAAAAAGGAAGAGGAGGGGCAGAGAAGGAAGAGGAAGGGGGGAGGAGGAGAAGGGAGGAGGAGGAGGAAGAGGAGAAGGGAGGAGGAGAAAAAGGAAGAGGAGGGGAGGAAGAGGAGGAGGGAGGAGGAGGAGGAAGAGAAGGAGGAGGGAGGAGGAGGAGGAAGGGAGGAGGAGGAGAAAAAGGAAGAGGAGGGGAAGAGAAGGAGGGAGGAGGAGGAAGAAGAGGAGAAGGGAGGGGGAGGAGGAGGAGGGGAGGAAGAGGAGGAGAAGGAGGAAGGGAGGAGGAAGAGGAAGAGAAGGAGGAAGAGGAGGAAGAGAAGGAAGAGGGAGGAGGGAAGAGGAAGAAGAGGAGGAAGAGAAGGAGGAGGAGGGGAAAGAGGAGGAGAAGGAGGAGGAGGAAGGGAGGAGGAAGAGGAAGAGAAGGAGGAAGAGGAAGAGGAAGAGAAGGAGGAAGAGGAGGAGGGAAGAGGAAGAGGAGAAGGAGGAAGAGAAGGAGGAGGAGGGGGAAGAGGAGAAGGAGGAAGAGGAGGAAGAGGGAGGAGGGAAGAGGAAGAGGAGGAGGAAGAGGAGGAGAGGGAAGAGGAGGAGGAGGAGGAGGAGGAAGGGAGAAGGAGGAAGAGGAGGAGGGAGGAGGAGGAGGAAGAGGAGGGGGAGGAACATCTCTCTTGAGCTCAAAGTTGAAGTTTAATTTTATTTTTCCCAAAAAAAAAAAAACCCAAACCCAAACCCCAACCTCCTTGAGAAAGAGACTGAAGGAGGCCTTTTTCCCAACGTCGCAGCACATCAAGGTTGCTGCTGTGGGGGGGCGGCTGGCGTGTGTTGAACGGCTCTTATCGATAAAAACGCTTATCGTGCCTTGACACATTGGGGAGGAAGAACAAAAGGGATTTCATATTCAGCCTCCACAGAAATGCGGGGTGCAGGGGGGATGCTCCACAACCCCCTCCTCGGGCGGGAGAGCATCGGAGAGGCAGGAGGCGTCCTGGGAACCGCCAAGGAATGCTAATTGGGAAGGGGGGTGGGGGGGGGAAGGAAGATGGGAAGGGGTCCTTTCTCTATTGACAGTCAGCCCTCGTCTCTGGCCGCAGGCGGCTATCGAAACAGGGCCCCTCCCAGCAATCCCCATGAAAGTCTAAGAGGAAGGGAGGGAGGGAGGGAAGGAAGAAAGGGAGGTATAAAAGAAGGGAGAGAGGGAGGGAGGAAGAAATATAAGGTTAGGTAGGAGGGAGGGAGGGAGGAAGGGAGAAAGGGAGGGAGGGAGAGGAACAGAGGAATATAAGGGAAGGTAGGATGAAGGGAGAGAGGGAGGGAGGAAAGGGGAGAAGGAAAGGATAAAAGAAGGGAGGGGGAGGATAAAAAGGGAGGGAGGGAGGACAAAAGGGAGGGAGAAAGGAAGGAAGGAAGGAAGGAATATAAGGAAAGATAGGTAGGTGAGTGGGTGGGAGGGAAGGAAGGAAGGAAGGAAGGAATATAAGGAAAGATAGGTAGGTGGGTGGGAGGGAAGGAAGGATAAAGGGAGGGAGGGAGGGAGGGAGGGAAGGAGGCAGGGAGGAAGGAAGGAAGGAAGGAAGGAATATAAGGAAAAATAGGTGGGTGGGTGGGAAGGAAGGAAAGGATAAAGGGAGGGAGGAAGGAAGGAAGGAAGGAAGGAAGGAAGGAATATAAGGAAAGATAGGTAGGTGGGTGGGAAGGAAGGAAGGATAAAGGGAGGGAGGGAGGGAGGCAGGGAGGAAGGAAGGAAGGAAGGAATATAAGGAAAGATAGGTAGGTGGGTGGGAGGGAAGGAAGGAAGGATAAACGGAGGGAGGGAGGGAGGGAGGAAGGAAGGAAGGAAGGAAGGAAGGAAGGAAGGAAGGAAGGAAGGATAAACGGAGGGAGGGAGGGAGGGAGGAAGGAAGGAAGGAAGGAAGGAAGGAAGGAAGGAAGGAAGGAAGGAAGGAAGGAAGGAAGGAATATAAGGAAAGATAGGTGGGTGGGTGGGTGGGAAGGAAGGAAGGAAGCTCTCCCTAAAACGGGATGCTATCAAAGGAAAGCTGAGAAAGACTAGGAATCTCCCTCAGGCAGAGGGTCCCACTGGGATCCAGCTGTTCCTCGGGCAGATGTGTGGAGGCTCTGAAGCAGAAGCTGGTTTTCCCCTCTCTTATTTCCTCTTTAATCGGAAGGAAGAAAATGTTCTGTGGACCAGCCAAGCCTTAGCAACTAACAGAGAAACCTCC